ATTCAGATGTGTCCAGCGCATTTTATGGAGGACTGTTTCTTGATCCTCGGAGAGTAGACTACAATGCCGGCTGTTCTGACTCACAGAACAGAACTCACAGAATTTGCCACTGATGATTCAAACAGAACTACTTTGTTTGGTCTTCCAAAAGAGGACACGACCACAAATGCAGACATGGTTTTATGTTTACGCGGCGCGATGCCACGGATTATAAGTCATTATAATCCGTAATTATGTCCACACTGGATGCAACAAATGGCTCGTTTATAATGGGTTTTATTGGGTTTGTCTTGTCGCTCCGGGACACGGCATCACAATATGGTAAGGGACGTAACATTTCCGTCACACGCTTGAGGTATTCGGCCAATCACAACGCACTGGATAGTTGGCCAATCAGAGCACACCTCGCTTTTCAGACCGATCAGCTTTGTAAAAATCGACGCGTTTCAGAAAGGCGGGGCATAGAGGAGAAACAATAATGTACAGTATGTGGAAAATAATGTGTTTTTTTAACCTTAAACCGCATAAACACATTTCATTACACCAAATACACAAAATAATATTCTTTTTAGCAACATCATATGACCCCTTTAATATTCAGCCTTGGATATTCTCATGATTTCATAAACATGCATACAGTGGGGTCTAAAAGTCCACATTAAAATCCTGGGATCCTTTAATACATTTTTAGGCGAAAATCTTTCCGCTAAATCTACATTAAGTTGTAAGATTTAGGTTTTGTTGTTGTTGTTATTTTAAATACATACCTAATATCTATAACCAATACATTAAAAAATTATGTGGAACTTTCACTCAAATAATGTACAGTTTTAAATAATGCAATTTGTAATAAAAGAATTTATGAGAAATAAATGCTAAAAAGATTTTTCCCTTTGGTCTCCGACTTATTAACCCCATGGTAGATACGTGCACACTGAATATGTCAGATGAAAAGACCATCTCCCATTATTCCTTGTGGTTTCTGCTGCTGATTAATTATGCTATGTGGAATCATGGTTTCCAACACCCACCGCCAGTGAAATTGTGAAAACCTCAGAGTCAGGGTCCCACAGGAAAGTCAGGCAAGAGAGTCTTCATCTGTGATTGATCTCCTTGAGTTACCTCTGTTACTATGGCAGCCATTACCACTAATCCTCTCTGTTTTAATGACCTCATGGTCACGCAGCATCCCACTGCTTTGATTATTTGAGCTGGAGGTCTGCTTAAAAACTTGCTTTGAATTAAACCAACCTCATCAAGTTTATTTCTGGAACAAATTGTCATTTCTAATTGATGGTTCACCAGTGCTTTCATAAATCTGTCTCTTCTCTGCTGCTTTTGTGTGCGTGTGTGTCAGTCTCAACAGGCTTTAGTTGTCTGAATGTGTTTTCTATTTGTCACGGTTCCGCAGTGATGGAGAAAACCTTTATGTTTATGTAAAATCTAAAGTAGCTTCTAATTTGGTTGTAAAACTGACATTGTCTGATATGAAGTTTCCAAGCATGTGTCCTCTTTGTCTCTCTTATCTATCAAGCTATTAAGCTCATGAAAGCAGCCCATATGACTCATATTCCAAGTCTTTTGAAACCAGTCTCTATGTTTGTGGAAAAACAGAAATGTATCCATTGGCAATCTTCACCACTGTAGCTTTCAAATGCCATTCATGTTCACATTGTCAATGGCTGCAATATAACAAAGAGTGAAAAATTTAAGGGGGTCTGAATACTTTCCGTACCCACTGTAGCATGTCAAAGGTTTGACTTCAGTAATGCCAAACGTCATTGGTTCATGTGTCTCATAACCAATTTTCGTATTCAGAATTAGCCAAATGAGATTTGAGAGCTGCAGTGGAGTGTGTTTTAGCTTTCTGTTAGTCACAGAAGGAATATTGGAATATAGTGCATGGGTCATATGGAGCACTTTTATGGTGCGTTTTTTGAAATTTTTGTACCTTTGCTCACGATTGACTTTTGTTGTATGGAAAACAGCAACATGAACATTCTGCTAAACATTTCCTTTTGTGTTCCACGGAAGAGAGCAAGTCTTAAGGAAAGACGTGGTGGTGAGTAAATGATGACAGAATTTTTATTCTTGGATACTTTCAGCAGCTTTAAGCTCTCCCAACTTAAAAGACATTGGTTTCATCCCATTTTCTAAATTGAAGCCAAGATTACAAAGTACATAATCTACCGTTCAAAAGGTTGGGTCAGAAGGAATAATAAAACAAAAAGAATACTTTTATTTAGCAAGGATTCAGACATTTGTAATGTTGCATGTGACAGAAGACTTGAGCTTGCATGTTTGCCATCACAGGAATAAATTAAATATTAAAATATATTAAAACCATAAACAGTTATTTAAATAAATTGTAATCATATTTCACATTATTAATATTTTTATTGTATTTTTGATCAAATAAATGCAGCATTGGTGAAAATAAGGGATTTGTTTCATAATAAATAAGTTAAATAAATATAAAAAATCTTACTGACCCATGACTTTTGAACAGTGGTGTATATCCTCTGTCACCCTCAAGATGACCTAATATCCCATTTTGTTCTGCAGACATAATTCAAATGGGATACAAATAGGACAAGTGGATGTTGCACATTTTATTTGGGTGCTGTTCACCTTAATGGCTGCCTGAAGGCTTAGTTGGCTTGAGTGTGTGAAGCCTGGGCACAGCTCCTGTGTCTGGGAGGTTCTCTCTCTGGGAGGGCACTTGGAGAAAGCTTGCACTGTCTGGGATCTTTAGCAGGGATTACAGAGACTGTGGTGCAGTGTGTATCTCCAGCAATCATGGTGTGCTGTGTCTGTATGGGATGTTACCTTGTACTAGATCTGCTCCTGCTTGGAATGAATGTGGAGGGCAAATGGAAAGCCATGGTAGGAAACAAATACATGTCTTTCCTTTTAACTGTGCTTCAATTCATTATTCGTTATTAGATGGTCAGATTTTGTTTGGATGTTTGCGCAAGAATTGTGTAAAACAACATGAAAAGGATTTTTTTAAAATATATTAAAAGTTGTTTTATGATCTGGTTTTATTGAATTATTTGCTTATGTATTCTAAAGGCAAAAAGTGCAAATGTATATTATCACATTGTATTGAGTTTAGACAGCTCTTGTATAAGCTGACATGTCTAAACTTTCAGAAAGGTGAGTTTAGAGATTTTTGTCTAATCGCTCATTAATAAGTAATGGAGACTTTCCCATGAACATGTTCACTTACTGAACAGGGATAAACTAAAAGGGTAAATGCGTTGGAAACTGCAGTTTGAATGGAGGTTATGGAGATCTTAAGACACCAAAAAAATTGGAGGTCAACAACATGTTAAGTGAGTGTTTTGGTCTAGATAATCTGATTGACCTGAGGTGCTGAGGTCATTAGTAGCCAAGTAAACTGAATACTGTCTAGTGTTCTTCTTCTTTACCAATTGCACCCTGATTTCCTTTCTGATGATCCACAAAAATGTTCCAGGTGACTTTCTTAATGGGAGTGTCAGATTTGCCCTGCTGGGTTCCTCAACAAATGACCTGCAAGGATTTCCCTCATACCTGTGTCTTAACCATGATTTATGGCGTCTCTCTTTCATTATTCACTGTTGGGTCAGCTGTGATGAACACTGATAATATTCTGCCCAGGGCCTTGCGTTCCAAACTCTGACATTGTGCTTCATCATTTTCCAGTCTCTGTGAAACATTTGTTTATATCTGTAAACCTCCAAACTGAGTTAGTATTTATGACCTTCTCACTGGCAGATGCTTTATCTGATATTGATGTCTCAGTCGCTTTCAGTTTTAGATATTTAGCATTATAGACTTTCAGTTTGATTCAGATTTATTGACATTGTCAAGTACAGTACAAAGCCAATGAAACTGCATCTAACCAGAAGTGTCATTGTTAAATAAAATATAAATAAATGATGGTAAACCACAAATGACAATGTAGTGCAGATGGTCAATGGCCTCAGCAAGTGTCTGGACTCATAAGTCATACTTGTAAATGTTTTAAATGAATTGCATGACGAATTTAAAAAAAAACAAGTGACATCTGCAAACGATACTGAAGCTTTTCCCAGAACTAGGTTCACTTTTCAGAGTAATTTTTGTGTCTGTTCAACAACTTGTCCCTGGGTCATTTCAGTAGATGTATGAAGTTACAGTAGTTTCCCTGGGGTTCACACAGATGTTGTTGTTCACACCTGCTTATAGGTGTATTTTATTGCAGTTTGACGACCAGGAAAAAAAAAACTTTTTAACTTAATTTTAAACTTTGTCTCTATAGCCTTGCAAACTTATTTTTGTAAAATGTTTTGCTTAACCCTTATGCTGTGTTCGGGTCATTTTGATCAGAAGAAGCTTTTTCCTGAAAATGGTAGTTAATGTTATCGCACTGGACAAAAACCTGCTACCTGTTCACACAGGGTATAACTACTTACCAAAATGTTTTGGATTGTTTTTGTACTTTTCCCCCACCTTGTTACACTTGTGGTGTTCCTGGTCAAAAATGACCGGCCTACAAAAATATCTTATCAATTTTGAAACTATATCACCAAATATTGGATTCAATCTTTTTGTCAATTCAATGTTTTCTTTCAATTAGGGTAGATTTTTCTATTTCTTTAAGAAACTGATTGATCTTCGGCCTCTTTGATCCGAGCTTATGCACTAATTTGTGGATAATTTTGTCAATTTTAAATAAATGTTTATCACACTAGTGAGCTTAAATGTTTAACCAGGAAGTTTGTTTTAAAATGGTTTTATCTGGTACGAAATGGCACAAAGTCACAAAAATGACTGGCCTATAAAAATAGCTTATAAATCTCTTGTTACGCTTTATTATCACCAAATATTGGATTCAGTCTTTTGATCAACTTGTTGTCTTTAAATTAGGATAGATTTTCTATTAATATTTGAAACCGAATTAATTTCTGAACCCAAACTTTTGAACAATAGAGTATGAATAAAATAGCAGAGTAGCATTTTTGGTGTTTATTGTAGAAACTATAGCAACTGAAACCTTTAACATGGAATATGCAGAGCATCTACTCACTTCCTCTCAAACATCCCACTGGCTGATCTTCTGAACAAAGTGTAATTGTGTCTTGTAGCATCTGGTTCTGCTCCAGCTTCTCTCACAGGAGTTGTTCCAGTGTTCGGTACAGTTCCAGCCAAAGATGTAACCTCTAGCACTGAGGAGGGTAAAACAATTATTTGGGGAGCTGTGTCACCCTTGAGAGGATCAAGTGTCCCTCTCATCTGAGGCAGCCGCCTTACAGTGTTAAGTGCCTGACTGCTCTTTCTCTGTAGCTTATTGTTAGAGAAAGAGAGGAGGACAGTAGGATGGAGCCTCTGGGTCTCTGAGCTCAGAATCACGTGTAGGCCATTGCCTTATCGCAATTGATCGTTTTTTTCTGCTTTGTGCAATATGCACTTAATTTTTATGGTACCTGATTTGGTGATCATCTGCCACTTGTTTTTGGTTTAAAATGAAAATGCAAAAAGGGTGCTCAACTCCATCCTGTCTGGATGTTTTGGATGCTTTTCTCCATAATTAGATGAATAACTGCTGCCATAATCAATACAAATGTACACAATATGTACCAGTTAAGCAGCACCACCTTTAGGGAATAGGGTGCAAACAGTTTGTGCTGAAATGGATAACAATAAAATGATTTAAATACCCTGAGTGCAACATTATACCCGGTTAAACTGGATTGCAGATGATTAATGAGTACAGCATGTTTTTGCTCTGAAATATTTAATGGATTATCCCCTTAGCATTTTGTTAATGTATCTCGTTTGTTCTATCTCTTATTTTTGTTCTCTTCCAGAACTCCAGTGTCTCTTCTAAGAATGAAGATCTTCGTAGTGAATGGGACATGTCGTCTGATTCGAACAGAACTTCAAAGCATTCGGTTCGTGGCTTTGTAGTGGTGGACGAGTCTGACCTTCTCACGTCTCCCGCTGTCAGCATACATAGCAGGTATAAGGACACCGGTGAAAAAAAGATCCAGTCCACCACCTTCAAATCATCAGAGGAGAACTTCACCTCTCAAAAACTGAAAGCAGATTTGGGTGGAGGCCGTCTTGAGCGGCTCCCTTTGAAGCCCTCTGGGGACATTGCTGACCTGGATTCTATTTTGAATGTGAAGACATCAGCTGGTCAGAAGGATCTGGTCAGGCCTACAGTCCATCCTGAGTTAAACCAGCTGATTGAAGAAGGTTTCTTACTTCCTTCAAAGGGCTTCGAAGTAGATAAAAAGCCTTTGGTCAGTGTTCACTCAAAAAAAGGATATGAATCGCTTGTAGGCAAAGGACAAGCTGACTACAAGCACTCAAGCAAGAAAGGAGTTGCAAAGGAGTTGAAAGGAGTTAAACATGGTGATGTTATGTTAGGCATGGATGGAAGGAGATACCGGCTCCTCAGTGGACCTCCAGGGCCTGTTGGACCACCAGGGAGAATAGTGAGTTACCACAATTAAATCCTGATGAAATCATGTGCTCTTCCATGATTTTCTTCCAATAATATGTGCCAATTTGGAATCTGAATCCAAAGACTTGAAAAAAATAGAAGTTTATATGCATAGTATCATTTCAATACATGCCATAGAAAACAAACTTAAGTTAATTATAGTGGTGAATCTCTTTTCAGAGGGATGATGTATAGAAATAAGTACATTCGAATGAATTAAATGAGTTAATGTAAAAGTTTTATCATTTTACTTGTATATTCTTTAAAAAATAGTCCATTTGAATGTACAAAACTATTGGCCAAGCAATAAGATGAACATTGCAACAAAATTCCAGTAACCTAAAATCAGTACTGAAGCCATTTGCACTACCTGTGATGACTGGGACACAGTTGCATTTGTATGAAACGATAGATGTGAAAGTAGCATCATTTTCAGTTGGGAGCAGACTGAAGGCACAGTCACATTAGTGAAATCTCATCAGCAAAAAATGGCCCACTGTCAATAGTTTAGTGATGCACAAAGCTCCGCTCACATAGAAGTCACTTTCAAACCAAGGTTCATTCCGTTGGTCAACATGGCAAATTTGCATGAAAAACTTGAACCATATACAAAATATGTGTGGGGAACGGTTTCACCCTTCACCAATGGAATATTTTGTAGGAATTATCTAGCCACTAAATGCTGCGATTTGACCAATCAGAATCAAGTATTCCAGGATGGAAAACTTCAGCTTTTCAGTCTTAAGAAAAAACTGAAACTAAAACAAGTAGCTACTATGATGTTAGTGCAAATTAAAAATATGTCATGTCTTTTGTGATTTACAGTAGCTGTGTTCCCCCCCCCCCCCCTGTCTGTTGGAACTGAAAACGTGCCCAGTTTTCAGTTTGCAAAACATACAGTGTTTGTTGTTTGAGCAAGAAACAGAATACTGAATTGAAGTCACATTAAATTGCTAGTCTGAGAACTAATTCTTAATCTCACTATGTATTCAAACTTAATTTGGTCATTGGAAATACATCATTGCCGAAAGCTGAATGTTATGTAATCTTTACATCTTTTAATGTAGTTTAGACGAGCATTCCTTTGAATATGCTTCACATCTATAACCAAACATTACTACATCTGCCCTTTTCTGAATGATAGCCTTTCACTATGAGACCCAAATATAAGGCTGTAGTGCTAAATGTGCACTTTGCAGAAGGTTAGAGGTTTGGCAGCACTCTACAAATTGGCATGTCTAAGAGTGTCACATTACGTAACATACATAAGATTAAAAAGGGCATGGACCTATAAATATTAATTGACTCGAGATTCAAAGTCTTCTACTGTATCTTGATTTCCATGCTTAAATTTGAACATGGAAACCAATCCTCTATAAACTAAGTTTGATGGTTGATGACAGTAGCTTTGCACTTTGCTGTGGTTAAATGCTTTTTATAAATGCCAAATTCCCATAAATATTCTTCATATGCAGGGCCCTCGGTTTAAGATTGCTTTTGTTGTTTGCACAGGGGTGCGCAGGCAAAAGGGGCTATATTGGATACAAGGGTGATAAGGTAAGGAATTTACATTACATTATAATATTCGGTGATTATGGGATCACGCTGATTTGTACCTGTATGTCATTCCAGGGTTCTCAAGGAGACCAAGGAGCAGATGGGCCAAGAGGCATACCAGGACCTCCAGGTCCACCAGGACTCCCAGTCCTCTACCTTTGTAGGAACACAGAGGAGGATTGGGCTGCATTTAAGGTAGGCCTTAATACGCCATATTCTGGAGAATTGTCTATCTAGCTGGTAAATCTCTTATAGCTTAGGCTTCCCTAGGTTGGCCATACTTGCCATTTTTACGGGACATGACCTGGCCAGGATTTGTATATTGCCTAAAATATCCCGGTTTTGCTTTGTTTTCTTGATTTCATACTTGCTGGAGGTAATGATCGAAAAGTAGTTTGACCAATAACGTGCAGGCATTGTACATAATCGACGATTGGTCAATTGTCAAAGGTGGGTTCTACTGAGAGCAGTCAAAGCGATGCAAATACGCACACATATTAGGAGTGTTCATTCGTTTCCTTTGACATGAAGCGGCGCTGCGCAGACCGATCGTTGTATGATATCAAAGTACCGTGAGAGCGATACGAAAGCACAAGGAGCCGCCTGCTCTCTCTCTAGATAAATTAGTCGATCATCCTGCCCATCCCTACCAAACATGAATCTATAGCAGTGAGCCACCGCCCTGTGTCTCTCAAACTGCTGGATGGTTCCTGCCAGACCTTGTATTCTCTCTATTTGTGACTCTCTATTTTTGAGCATATATTTAAGTATAATTGTAAAACCTCAGGTTTGACCTCCTTGTAGATTCTCAGAACTCAAAACGGTTGTGAATATCTGCTTATTATGATTGTGCAGCTGCAACTTGGCATTATTTAATGTTGTGTGTGTGTGTGTGTGTGTGTGTGTGTGTGTGTGTGTGTGTGTGTGTGTGTGTGTGTGTGTGTGTGTGTGTGTGTGTGTGTGTGTGTGTGTGTGTGTGTGTGTGTGTGTGTGTGTGTGTGTGTGTGTGTGTGTGTGTGTGTGTGTGTGTGTGTGTGTGTGTGTGTGTGTGTGTGTGTGTGTGGTGTGCGTGCGTGTGCATATGTGCGCGCGTGTGTGTGTGTGTGTGGAGAATATCTAAATGTTGTTTTTTCATCATCATTTGGCAGAATCCTCAAACATGATGGATGAGTTTAGTCCTCCAAAGAGGAGCCATGTGTGTGTATATTGAGCCATGGGTGGTAGGTGAGGGAGTTGTACCTTTCTTAAAGAGTGAGACTTTATGTACATTCAAAGACTGTTTTTGTGATTTGTATTGGGTTTTAATATTTTATTCAGGTTTCACAATTTGAAGTACTTTCACTTGAGGGATAATTTGATTAGATTTGATTTGATTATTTATATGAAAAAGTCATTACTGTATGTGAATTTTATTTTAGCCCAGTTCATTATGGAAATTATTTAAGTGCTTCAATATGGAAGGTCAGATTTCATATGGTGTAATGTATAATTTGGCTATTGTTTAGGAAAATGAAGTCAATTGTACATATTTTTGGCAAAAATGATTATCACAATTTTCTGTGTAAATTTTCACTGCATGTCATTTTTATTAAATAAATGACGTTTAACCTCTTAACTGTCACCCGTCCCCTCTGTGGGACGCCTAAGTTTACTTCTTCGTTGCCTTTTTCTCTATCACACTTTAGAAATTATCAAAAATTATATATCAATTGAAAACTTCAAATCTCAAAATTCATCCTTTGAAAACCATTTTAGAATCAGATATTGCATTACCATGAAAATGGTACATCAAAATCATGTTACAAAATGTTTTCATTCATGTCTATGTTCAAAAATGTGAGTGACAATTAAGGGGTTAAATATTTTTTGACCTTTTTTCTCAGATTTTTTCACTACGATCGATGATAAAAAAGGCTTAGGAAAAAGCCTTTCTATCTGTTTCATCTCTGATTTATATAATTTGTCCCATAGCATATGTCGTGTTTAGATGGATGTGGCTGAATGGGACTGATTCTCTGTGTATTCAGTGGTGATTAGGGATGATTTGTCATTGAAATATTATAAACTGAACCCTTACAGACATTGTTTGTGCTGATGGTGCTTTGCTGTTTACCCAGGTTGCACTCTGTAGAATGGTTGCAGTGTTGTGAGGAGGTTTTGACAGATGTTTAGATCCCTCTGTTTCAGTGGGACATGTGGCAGGCAAGTGCACTGGGAGGTCCGATTCCCGAACTTCTCTCAAACTCACCTTCACTGGACCAGCAGTGAGCCGAATTCTGCCCTGTTGCCAAATTGAGCATTTGCCAAGACAAATGTTGTATAAAGCGGAGGCAGACTGGGTGATTTAATATCAGTGTGACAGAGACTGTGTGTCTATGTGGGTTCGAGGCCTCAGCTTTTCCAGGCCACACTGCAGAGACAGCATACACTGTCTCTCAGTTCTTCTCCTCTATTTGAACAGGAGACATGCCTTTCAGCACTCTTTTTGTTTGTGTTTCTTATAGAGAGGAATTGAAACATACAGGCATTAAGTGTTACAAGAGTTTAGATTGAGGATTTGTTGTTGAGCAGTTTTTTTCCCCTATTAACACCAGTCAGGTACAGAGCTTCCCATCATCTCTCGTATGCAGTCTGAATTGTATTTATGCATTCATGCATATGCTGGGTCTGAAACCACTTGTTTGTTTGCTCATTTAATATTCGTTACACAGTGAATGCCACATGTGGGAGTAAATGAGTAAATTGAGACAGCCTACACTCTTAAAAATGCTGGGTTAAATACAACCCAGTGCTGGGTAAAATAGGGACAAACCCAGCAATTGGGTTGTTTTGACCCAGCGGTTGGGTTACTACCCAGAAGGTTGGGTTAAACATTTAACCCAACCGCTGGGTCAAAACAGCCCAATTGCTGGGTTTGTCCCTATTTTACGCAGCACTGGGTTGTATTTAACCCAGCATTTTTTAGAGTGTAAACAGTCACAAAACAATAAAATAAATAAATACATTTAAAAAATGTTTTTAAATAAATATAAGCAATTTTTGGTATTGGTATTTTTTTATATTTTCATTGTTCATTTTAATTTTAGTTTTAGTAACTTTGTTATATGCTTTTGTCATTTTTATTTCTATTTTAGTTTTAATTTATTTTAGTTTTCATTTTAGTGATTTTTGTAATTCATCTTAACACTTTTTTCAGTTAGTTGGTAAGGCAATATTTCATATTTTGTATGTTTTTCTTTTATTTTATTTTTGTAGAAAACATCTTTTTACCAGTTGCTGGCAGCTGGATGGCCAGTGAGTATTTGAAATTAGAATAAATTAGCAAAACGTCAGTATAGTATATGCATGTGGTCTCTCACTAAACCCTTTCCCTCTGATGTCCTGCAGAGACAGACAGGACACCCTGGACCAATGGGTGAGACGGGGAGACCTGGTTTACCTGTGAGTACAAACTCAAACACACAGAACACTTTTAATGAAGACTGAATTGTTAGAGAACCTGTGTTGCAGGGTATGAAAGAATTTTACAATGACCTCCAACTATATTGGGGGTCATTGTGGATCTTTGACTAGTGCGGTTTACTGTAGTATGATGAATGATTAAATGGTTACAGACAGATTAGATTTGAGTGTTTTTGGTTTGGTATATACAGTACTGTGCTTAATTGTTTTATTCCTGAAGGGGTTGCCTGGAGACCCAGGTCAGTCAGGACCACCAGGCCTAAGAGGCGAAATGGTACCTATTCATTACAATATCTCTGTTTTTGTGTGTGTCTGGGTATGTATGTGGGTGTGTGTTCATAATAGCAATGAGAGTTCAATGGTATCTTCAGCAACAGTTAAATGTTACTATGAGGTACACTACTGTTCAAAGGTTTGGGGTCAATACGATTTTTTAAATATTTTTTTAAATAAGTCTCTTATACTAAACAAAGCTGCATTTATTTAGTGACGTGCCATGTGGCCAAGTATGGTAACCCATACTCGGAATTATTGCTCTGCATTAACCCATCCAAAGTGCACACACACAGCAGTGAACACACACACCGTGAACACACACCCAGAGCAGTGGGCAGCCATTTATGCTGCGGCGCCCGGGGAGCAGTTGGGGGTTCGGTGCCTTGCTCAAGGGCACCTCAGTTGTGGTATTGAAGGTGGGAGAGAGCACTGCCCTGCCAGTACGAGACTCGAACCCACAACCTTTGGGTTATGAGTCCGACGCTCTAACCATTAGGCCACGACTTCCCCCATTATTTGATTATTTGTTATTTAAAGTAACTGTTTTCTATTTAATACGTTAAAATGTAATTAATTCCTGTGATGGCAAAGCTGAATTTTCAGCATCCATTACTCCAGTCTTCAGTGTCACACGATCCTTCAGAAATCGAAATCATTCTATGTGTGCTCAAGCAGTATTTCTTATTATTATCAATTTTCATAACAATTGTGCTGCTTAATATTTTTGTGGAAACCACAATACTTTTCCTTTTTCTTTTACAAAATTATTTGATGAATAGAGAGTTCAAAAGCACAGCATTGTAACAATGTAAAAGTATTTACTTTTGATCGGTTTAATGCATCTTTGATGAATAAGTTTTAATTTCTTCCAAAAGAAAATTTTACTGTCCCCAAACCTTTAAAAACTGGTGCAGAATTATGCAAAGTGCCTACAGGATTTAGTTACAAGTAAACACTTTATAATAGGGTGGCATTGGACCAAAGGGTGTTCGAGGCAGAGCAGGGACTCAAGGAAGAGATGGAGAGAAAGGTCCAGATGGGGTGACAGGATCTCCAGGGGTTCCTGGCCTACAGGTAAGACTAAGGGCATGGGATGTCTGTAGTAGCTTTTGTATTAGTTGTAAAAGTTCAAGTTGGGACACTAGTGTGAATATGGCTTTCGGATAGATTGTGGTAAAGCTATGAATTGTAGCTGTGGAACATATGAGCTTAAATTGCAGAAGACAATATGTTGTATATTTCTGGTTGTGGCTCAAGGGTCCTCGTGGTTACAAAGGTGACACCGCGCCCCCTGGTGAGAAAGGAGATGAGGTACAGTATGAGGATACATAATATTCTGAAATGCATGACCCTGTAACTGCCTCATACAGGATTATAATATATTTAATATAGTATAAAGCAATTTTTCTGCCTCCATGAGCAGGGTTTTCCTGGTGCTCCTGGCCTCAGAGGAGACAAAGGACAGACTGGCCTGAAGGTAAAGAAAGCCTTCAACTGAAGTATTTATGATGCATTTCATTTGTGTGTACTGTTTATATATAGAAATTCAACACCTATACTGCCCCCTAGTGAATCAGGAGGGGACACTACCATAAAAAGCATTATTTTCTATAGTTGTAGTGTAATTATTGGTTATGCCTCTGTCATTTTTTTTAATAGGGCTCAAAAGGAGAAATTGGGTTTACTGGCTTTTCTGGTCCTCCAGTGAGTAAATCACTTAATATTCTTGAACTGCTAGTTTTAAACATTATTACTAGTAACTGGTGTTAGTATCCTTTCTTATATTGTAGTAAATATTATGCATGAATGGTTTTCTTTTCTTTTCTTTTAAGGGACCGGTTGGTTTACAAGGTGTTCAAGGGATTCCTGGACCACCTGGTCCTAAGGTGATTGATTTAATTGACAATTTATTTTTGTGTATTTTTACATTGATCTTGACAGTATAAAGAATGTTGTTTTCATAGGGGGATCCAGGCAATGATGGAAAACGTGGTCCTCCAGGGACAGTGGTGAGTCGTAAATCTTGAGTCATAAATCATGCTCGTGACACTTGTGAAAACTTGAAAAAAATAAAGTTCTTCAAACTGTGTTTCTTCTAAGTATAACTAACTATATCGAACTATAAAGTAGATATTCGTTATAGCCAAAAAGAAAATCCATTTGGGAAAACTGAATTGGGGACAGTGATTACTTCTTATTAACAGAGAAATCACCCTTATCCTGGTGTTTATGGATACTGCTTAATAATGCTCAGTTATGTGTTTGTGTCTTGCCAGGGAGTTATATTCTTTATATGCATATATGGCATAATCTTTAACAACTGAGGTTCAAAATAAGATTTCTTGACAAAATACATTTGTTTTTCTCTCACCCTTTTTTCCCCACAGGGTATAAATGGTGAAGTAGGTCCTCAGGGAACACTTGGAAAAGAGGGTCAAAAGGTCAGAGTGCTTTATGACTTTCAGGTGGAACGGTCACACCAAAAGCATTCTTGTAGCTCACCATTTTACATCAATCCACCTGTGATTGCTCCTCTAAAAAAATGATGCTGCCCAAAGGCTCTTTCACTGTGTCCTACTAATATATGCACCTAAATCAATAACATCTCTTCCTTTTTTTTTTTTTTTTTTTTTGGAAACAAAGGGCAGCAGGGGTGAACCTGGTGATAATGGAAGAACAGGACTCAGAGGATCCAGAGTAAATTAGCTATTTGTTTCATATAAAAATCTGAAAAATCCTGAGACCACCAGTGAAAATGCATCTACCTGCAAATACATCTAAAATCCATATATCATTTAAAGGGGTCATATGATGTGATTTCAATTTTTCCTTTCTCTTTAGAGTGTTACAAGCTCTTGGTGCATAAAGAAGATCTGTAAAGTTGCAAAGACTAAAGTCTCAAATCCAAAGAGATATTCTTTATAAAAGTTCAGAGTCAGCCGTAAAAAGACAGTATAAGTCATTATAATCAGTAATTATGTCTCGACTGGATGCAACAAATGCCTCGTTTGTAATGGGTTTTAATGCTTTTGTCTCGTCGCTCCGGCCGGGACACGGCATCAGCAGTATGCGAGGGGCGTAACATTTCCGTCTCACGCTTGAGGTATTCGGCCAATCACAATGCACTGGATAGCTGGCCAATCACAGCACAGCTCGCTTTTCAGACCGATGAGCTTTGTAAAAATCGATGCGTTTCAAAAAGGCGGGGCATAGAGGAGAAACAATAATGTACAGTATGTGGAAAATAATGTGTTTTTTTTTACTTTAAACCGCATAAACACATTTCATTACACCAAATACACAAAATAATGTTCTTTTTAGCAGCATCATATGACCCCTTTAAAAATTATATTACCATAATAACAATTTAAGGAAAAAGTCAATAATGGAAAAATTCACATGAATCACATTAATTTGAGAAATATTTATTAATTAAATGTCCAGTTTTAAATTCTGTCTCAGATTTATTCATATGTTTTGTTTCATGAATAAGCTAGATATTTAACATTATGTGTTATGAGTAAACAATATGTAAGTGGTCCTGTGTCGTTTGATCACATTCACTCACGTTGTTTCTGTATGCTCAGGGTCGAGCAGGCCAACATGGTCCCCCTGGTGTACCTGGAATAGTGGTAGGGAAATTGAATTTGAGTAAACAGAGTCCAGATTTATTTGGTTCACGTTTTATTGAATTGATCATATTTACTTTGCTGTTTTTGCAGGGTTTACGAGGTCCAGTTGGTGCCGAGGGGCCAGAAGGAAAGCCTGGTACACAGGTTCCCATTTCATACATTTAATATCAAGTTTGTTTTTTTTAATCAGTCATAGTGATTTATCATATATGAATCTTTGCTTTACCATTACACCAAAGAAAGAAATCGAAATTGTGTTGATTTTATGTATCTGTCTTGCAGGGTGTTTCTGGTTCTGTTGGAAGCCCAGGGGATAAAGGACCTAATGTATGTTTCTCATCAACCAAAATATTCTATGAGATATATTAGTCAGTTGAGAGCAGACTGCTGCTATAATAAAAGCTTGTTGTAAAGACTGGTCAGTAATGATAGCAGATGATTCTTTAAAAGAGCTATTACCAACATTAGACCTCAGAAGAAGGAGAAACACTTGATACAGGCATGTCGAGGTCAGAAAGATCAGAGACTATTAAACTTAACAAGGTCTTAAACATCCTGTTGGGTTGGTCCTTCTGTCATGGAGGAATGATCTTTTTCAGCATGACAGCAAGAGCCTGAAATGTGTTTTGTAAGTGTTAAACTGGTAGACTGAATCATATATCTATATCTTGTGTGTTGTGTCTGTTTTATATTTTTGGGTACCTTTACAAATTCAATTGTCAGAGTAATTTTAGTAAGATGTTTAATTGAATAATCAGAATGAATTTCAGAATGTCTTAGTATTTATTTTGTCTCATTTTTGCTTTATTGACAGCAGCACATGCGTTGCATGAGCAAGTGTGTGTAAAACCTGATGATGATGTGATCCAGTATCATTTAAGAATGATCTAAAGAACATCTTGTGCTTCAGTGGAAGAAAGAACATTTTAATCTAAAAGGAGTTAACAGTGTCAATGTCACAAATTAGATTAGTAGCCTAGAAATAGTTAAGAATCCTAAATATTTGTATTCCTTTTACATCAAACCATATTCATTGTGGACTTTTTTAGTCTTTCACTCATTTGTCATGTCATATATCATATATCTTCTGTAATATTTGTCATCTAAAGGGCCTGAAGGGCATGATCGGAGAACCAGGAAAACAAGGCCCTCCAGGCTCACAGGTGAGCATAACAACAGGACAAACAAGGACTGTGGAAAAATGAACATTTTACACAGTAGTCAAACTTTGAAAAGTAAACCATCACAGAATTGTGATTTAAATTCAAATTCAAAAGCATTTTCATTCTTGTTGATTAACATCTACTGAAAATGCAACCAGTTCATGGTTTCTCCTCTCATTAGGGCCCACCTGGACGACCAGGCCAAGATGGCACTCAAGGTCCTCCTGGTGAGAAGGTAAGCCTCTCAAAGTATTGTATTGCTGTAATAATGTAATTAATGCATAGTATTCACATATATCACCACTGTGTGTGTTTGTTATAAGGGCTTCACTGGAAAACCAGGCATTGCAGGTGCTCAAGGGCCTGTAGGCATGTATGTAAGTGGCACTATCCCGCATAAACCAGTCCAGACTGACATGAAAATTCATGATCGGCTTGTAGCAGCGATTTGATTCTATATGCTGTTTTCTTGCTCTCAGGGTTATCCAGGAGCCACAGGCCTTCGTGGACAGCCAGGTCACATTGGAGAGAGGGTTAGAGCTTTCTGCTGTAAATATTTTACTATGAATTTTTCTCTGATCATTCTGGATGTCGTATCACATATATTGTGTGAATGTGCATCTGCAGGGTGAACCCGGCATCAGGGGTCCTCTGGGTCCACCAGGGCAAAGAGGTCCACCTGTAAGTTGATTTGAATGTCATCTGTTAATTATCATTAATGTTATGACATTTTGGTCACTTCTTCTCTAAAACAATTGTTACCTTGTTAACCTTTTAAGGGTTTACCAGGCCCGGCTGGTGAGAGGGGCCCACGTGGACCACAGGTGAAGTAACTTCTCCATTCATAGAGCTAAATAATTCAATAGCACTGTTTTTCATATTCAGAGAGGTTATCAATAATGTTTTCAACATTTTTTTTAGGGTCGCCAAGGGGAACCGGGACCTGCTGGCTTGCGAGGACTGCCTGTACGTAGCCCTCAGTTTGAATTATACATTTAGATTTTTGAGAAGCAAAAAAAAAAAAGGAATACATCGAAAGTAATTAAAGTATAATAAGTTATTTTAAACTGCAATATTTCATAATATTTGTTTATATGTAATACACCATGTACTGCATATAATACGTAATTTTAAATAGTATGTGCATTTTGTATTGAAATGCACATAAAATAATTTCTATATATTTTATATTAATTGTGAAAGAACCTGATTGCCTAATGCTGATGAACATTGTGCTTTTTATGCAGTCAGCACTGCGAATGATCATCGCATTTGAGGAATTGTTGTTCATTACATGTTGTACACGTATTTGTGTTTTTGTGTTTGTGTGTCAATTCAGGGGCCCTCAGGACTGCCAGGGATTGAAGGAGCAGCTGGAAAGCCAGGCCCCCCCGGGGGCCAGGGGCCTCGGGGGCCACAGGGAAAACAAGGACCAATTGGATTGCCAGTGAGTGGGTACCCCTCATTTTGATTATTGAATTTTTAGGATAGTTTTAAAGAATTTTAAGAGAAAGTTACAATCTGAGATTCTGATCATATTCTGCTATTCTTCAGGGTTCACCGGGAACAAGTGGAATGGTTGGTCAAGCAGGAGAGAAAGGAGGGCAGGTATTGTAAGCATTTCAATTTACTAAAGCATGTTACATAACACAGGATTAAGCATTTGATTTATAATGCTCTTCTTTAGGGATTGCCAGGACCTTCAGGTGACCCTGGATCTGTTGGATTGGATGGACCACAGGTTGGTTCATTTCAATTTATTCAGAATGAACTGCTATTAGGAGGCATCCTGTTTGAGTTCCCTGAATCAACTTCTTCTTTTCTTGGGCAGCTTACCAAAAATGAAAGCAACTTGATCTCTGGTTTAGTATGTTTTTAACAAAGGCATGAGAATATTTTGAGATAAGGAACATAGCATAAGTGCTAGAGATTTTTGTTAAAAGTGTGATTCATTAGCTACCCCATCTTGTTTTAGTAAAATTAACATACAGTTTATTCACTCTTTCTGCTGTAGGGCCATCCTGGTCCAGTTGGTTTTGAGGGGCCAACAGGGCTAAAAGGAGAACATGTAAGTGTTAATACTGATTTAAATGCATCCATCAAAACCACCAAATCGGTCAGCTAACACTCCAGTGTTTTTCCAATTTAAATGATTTAACTAGGGTATTTGATTTTAGGGATCACCTGGACCCATTGGGAAGCCTGGTCCAAATGGCCATCCGGGAGATCAGGGACCTCAGGGCTCTCAGGGAATGCAGGGCGCACCAGGACCACGTGGCAAAGAGGTCAGTGACAGTGATTACATGAGGCTTCAAGTCTCATTATTAAGCCTTACTATGCTAAATTTGTGGTCATTGAGTTTTTTTAAAGAAACAAATGATTTTATTTAGCAAGGACTTCAAAAGTGACAGAAAAGACATGTATAATGTTACAAAATATTTTTGTAACATTACACATGTCTGTTTTCACAAAAATATTAAGCAGCACAACTGTTTTTTTTTTTAACACTGATAATAATAAGAAATGTTTGACACTGAAGACTGGAGTAATGGCTGCTGAAAATTCAGCTTTACCATCAGAAGAATAAATGATGTTTTAAAATCGATTGAAATAGAAAACAGTAATTTTTCAATTGTAATAATATTTCATAATATTATCATTTTTATTAGATTTTTTTGAACAAATGAATACATCCCTGCCCTGGTGAACATAAGAGAGTTCTTCCAGAAAATTCTAAAAAATCTTACCGACTCCAAGCAGTAGTGTATATATCTTAAACATCCTTGCTCTTTTAAAGTGCATTACAATAAATTATAATGAGTATGATGTTTCATATATAGGGAGGTATTGGACCTCGAGGTGATATTGGTGACCCTGGGCCTAAAGGACAAAAGGTAAAATAATTGCACAGTACTAAGTAATACTAAGTAATATTTCATTCGATGAGCTGTAAAGGTCTATACTATGAACAGTTTCTACACAAAGTGAAGTAACTGTATTCATCTTCAAACAGTGTGGCCCTGGACATCGAGGATTCTCTGGACGACAAGGCCCATCTGGATTTTTGGGGGACAGAGGAGAGAGAGGATTGAAGGGGAATAAAGGCTACATTGGACCACAAGTTAGTGATCCTACTGAGCAAAACCCATTTCTGTTGGACAGACCAACCTAACTATTGTGCACTGTTAATACTTAGTAGAATAATGATAGTCTCTTCACCAGGGTCAGAATGGATTGATGGGAAAGTCTGGTCCATCGGGTTTGATGGGTCTAGAGGTATGATTTTTATATAAGATGCACCTAAATCAACTTACATGATTGTAGTTTTTGACGAGAAACGCGCTTTTGGAGTCGGTTGGTTGGTTAAGTTTATAAGTTGGCTTTTAATGCAGGGTTTGATAGGCCTTCGGGGACCACCAGGAGCAAATGGTTTACCAGGCCCAAAGGTATTGCTCCCTTTTCTTCCTCAGGTTTCTTTCATCAAGTTTCCTTGTAATAGATCTGGATTACTCTTGTGCATTTCTTAATGTAACAGACCTGCTCTTTGTTTCATAAGGGGGAAACTGGATCACCTGGGGCACCTGGCCATCCAGGAGATCAAGGCAATCGGGTAAAATCAATGACTGTTTTCCATGATACAACAGTTTGGGTAAAATAACATTTGAATTGTGAACTGGGAACAAGACAAGAGATGCTGCATTTCTCTCATTTCTGCATTTTTTTGCATATATATTGGCTGCTATATAAGATTACAAGAACTGAGGGGAACCTCTCAATGTCAAATTAAAGTCATTATGTTTTTGTTTCATCTACAGGGAATAGCTGGGCAGAGTGGCTT